ACCATCTAAGTGTACTCAACTGTGCTATTTTGAGACACACTGAAATTGAATTAAAATGTGCTTTTAACATACTATATCTGTATTTTAAAAAAATATATTTAGTTACAACTAGAAATACACTTGAACCATAATTTTAAACATTTAAATATATTTATGACTAATTTAAAGTATAATAGTAATATATTAAAAAAATATACAAATTGTAAAAAATAGTGTGCTAAATACTGTATTAAAAGTGCTCGATTTTCCCAAACTAATTTTGTATTTAATGTACTAAAAATTAGTATTAAGTACTTTTTAAGATAAACTTAAGTACATCTAAGTGTACTCAACTGTGCTATTATGAGACAAAATGAAGCTGATCTAAAATGTGCTTTTAACATACTAAACATTTATTTAAACAATATATTTTGAAGGGATCCTAGGTGAAAAAAAATATAGTTAAATGCAATTAAAATACACTTAAATACCCGCAAATACAATTTTAGTACATTGTTATTGTTTTGTGTTAAATAAAAGTTTGATGGTTTTACACTATAAATATACTAATTAAATGTTTATACTTCAGTAGGACTTTAGTACACTTGACAAAAGTATACCAAATACCAGTAATACTTAAATACATTTTTAGTGTACTACAATAAAGTACACTACAGAAAAAACATCCAAAACAGTTGTATTAGTGTAACCTGAGGAGTGACACAAACAACAGAGATAGGATCCACGTGCAGGTTTAATCAGTGGTCAGGCAAGCAATGGTCAATACAGGTGCAAACAGACATACAAGGAAAGTCCAGAATCGTAGTCAAAGGATCAGGTGAGTGGTCAGAAGGCAGGCGGCAGACTAAGACACACAGCCCGTGGCTGAGGGTCAAAACACAGGAAAACAAGACTAGGAAACGCGTTGTAGTGTTACTTTACAGTCAACAAGACTCTGCAATGTGAATGAGTGAGTGTGTTGCTTAAATAGTGTGGGCAATCAGTCTCTGACAATCCTCAGGTGGTGCGAGTGTAATCATTCTAGATGAGGAAGCATGTGTGAGTGTGAGCAGAGTGCATGTATGAAAATGTTGTCCAGAATGGCGAATTATAGTCCATGGTTATTGTGAATGAAGTTATCGTGACAATTAGTGTGTTTTTCAAAAGTGTGCTTTAAATGCTTTAAACATTAGTTGATTTTTAGAACACTGTGTACATACTAATCCTGAGTTTAAAATAAGTTAATATATAAAAAATCTATTAGTAATGTATTGTAGTAGAAGCGCATTTTTCCAAAATGTCTTTACATCTCATATATGTGCTGTAATGTTGCATCTTATTTATATTTTTGTGTTCTCAGTTTTTGCTAAGTTTTTGTTCCCTCCCATAAGGTAATTTTGGACTTTTTATGGTTTTTGGTTTATTGCACAAAAGGATTAAAGTGTTTTGATGAAGCACAGATGCTGTTTTTTTGTACACACATTATCCCTTCAAAATATATTGTTTAAATAAATGTTTAGTATGTTAAAAGCACATTTTAGATCAGCTTCATTTTGTCTCATAATAGCACAGTTGAGTACACTTAGATGTACTTAAGTTTATCTTAAAAAGTACTTAATACTAATTTTTAGTACATTAAATACAAAATTAGTTTGGGAAAATCGAGCACTTTTAATACAGTATTTAGCACACTTTTTTTTACAATTTGTATATTCTTTTAATTTATTACTATTATACTTTAAATTAGTCACAAATATATTTAAATGTTTAAAATTATGGTTCAAGTTTATTTCTATTTGTAACTAAATATATTTTTTAAAATACAGATATAGTATGTTAAAAGCACATTTTAGTTCAATTTCAGGGTGTCTCAAAATAGCACAGTTGAGTACACTTAGATGGTATTAAGTTTATCTTAACATATACTTAATACTATCTTTTAGTACATTAAGTACAAAATTAGTGTGCGAAAATAGAGCACTTTTAGAACATTACTGAAAAATGTACTAAGTATACTTAAATAAAGTGCATTTTAGTGCACTTTTTTTTTTTTTACCTGGGATAATGTGTGTACAAAGAAAACAGCATCTGTGCTTCATCAAAACACTTTAATCTTTTTGTGCAATAAACCACAAGTCCAAAAAATACCTTATGGGAAGGAACAAAAAATATAAATAAGATGCAACATTACAGCACATATATGAAATGTAAAGACATTTTGGGAAAATGTATTTCTACTACAATACATTACTAATAGATTTTTAATAAATCCAATTTAATGTAAACTTAAAAATACCACACTCAAAATCAATTTAAAGGGCACCTAGGTTACCCCTTTTTTCAGATTTAATATAAGTCTTTTGCGTCTCTAGAATGTGTATATAAAGTTTCAGATCAAAATACCCATCAGATTTTTCATTATACCTTTTACAAGATGCTGTTTTATACTGATTTCCAGCAGGGGGTGGTTTTGTCGTACTGTGCCTTTAAGCCGAGTTCTGCCCGCCCACTATTTCTACATGCCTCCTCCCTCAGCTGCGTCAGACAACAGACGATTGTCAGAAAGAAGGTCTCACGTAGCGTTTGTGAGATACTACAGTAAGAACTAACCTTTACTAATCAGTATTGTGAAGTTGCATTGATGAGTCACACACAATATCGTTATACACACACACACACACACACACACACACACACACACACACACACACACATACACACACACGCGCACACACACACACACACAGATACACACGCAGGCAGACAGACAGAGCGCGCTTAGCTTAGTTAAGGCTAACCTCAAGTACTGTGTGGATATCTGTTATGCTAATGTACAAAATAAACCTGATTTAACTTCCACAAACCGGGATTGAAGCGTCTTCTTTTATAATTGTTCTGACACGCGGCTGTGCTGATGAAGTAAAGCTGAAGTAAAACGCTGTAATTAATTACACACATACTCTGTTTTAAAACACTTTAAACATGTGAAACTTACTCTTAATCACATTTGATGATGATTGCTGATCCTAGCGAACAGAACAGAGCTTTTATTCCCGGTTGCTTTGCGTATGTCTGTCTGGTCTTGTTGACATATACACGTGACTACCGGAACATGTTAATGCCCGCAGCTGTCAATCAATTCGGTGGGCGGGGGGATCGCACACCTACGTAATGGTGCGATCGATTTGAAAACAGCTCCAATTGGCTGACCCTTTTTTTGTAGTTAAATTGAAAAAAAAAGGACTGGGTGTGTTCATATCACCCCAGTATGACGGTCTATACACTATACCAACACACAGATCTGTCCAAACAGCTTGAAAAGTAGATTTTTTACCATAGGTGCCCTTTAAGTGTTAGTGATAATATTGCATTCACATTAAGTGTACTTAAGTACAATTTTTGGGCAAATGTTCTTTTACTACAATGCATTACTAATGGATTTTTAATAAAGTCAGTTTAATATAAACTTAAAATTACCACACTCAAAATCTATTTAAGTGTTAGTGATAATATTGCATTCACATTAAGTGTACTTAAGTACAACTTTTGGGAAAATGTGCTTCTACTACAATACATTACTAATAGATTTTTTATATATTAATTTATTTTAAACTTAGGATTAGTATGTAAACATTGCACTAAAAATCAACTAATGTTTAAAGCATTTAAAGCACACTTTTGAAAAACACACTAATCAAATCCTTTTGGATGTTTTTTCTGTAGTGTACTTTATTGTAGTACACAAAAAATTTATTTAAGTATAAACATACTTTTAATTAGTATATTTATAGTGTAAAACCATCAAACTTTTATTTTACACAAAAAAATAACAATGTACTAAAAACGTAATTGCGGGTATTTAAGTGTATTTTAGTTGCATTTAATTATAGATTTTTTTCACCTGGGTCTCTCTCTCTCTCTCTCTCTCTCTCTCTCTCTCTCTCTCTATATATATATATATATATATATATATATATATATATATATATATATATATATATATATATATATATATATATATACTTTATAATACGTGTGTGAGAGAGAGAGCAGGTACTGACAAGCTGCAGAGCTTCATATTTCCAATCCCATAATCTTACATATCCCATTGTCAAACCTGAGCTTCTGATTCAAGGGGTAATTCCTCTGTTTATAAGTGAGCATATAAAACCTTTTCTGTAAACTTTTTAACTTACCCAAGCTACCTACTATGTAGATATCAGAGAACAATTTAACATATTGAATCAGTGCACTTTTCGTCAGCTTTAAGTGTCCAGTGTTCTCCAGTTACGAATCAGCAATGCAGATGGTGGGCATAGTGTTAGCATATTTAGCATTAAGCGTTTCTAGTTGCTCAATAAGTACAAACTTCTGACTTACTGATGAATGTGAATCCTTCAGATTTCATCAACATATTTCAGCTTGAGACGTAATTTATGTTAAACTTTGCCATACAAGCCTTAATACCCCAGACATTTTAACTCTTCCTCATTGACTACATTCAGTTTTATCCTTTGTAACATTTTACTTACAGTTTTTAAAGGATTTGTTCAATCGACAGATAACATAAACAGCGAATTCACACTAGACAATAATTATGTTCAGGACTGAAATGCTTATTATTACTGAACCTGAAGTGTGCACTACAGCTCTAGCAGGTGAGTCATTTTCCTACGTGGAGTTTCCCTTCCCCCTCTGACAGGTGGAGATAAGAGTATCAGCCTGACTCTATGGCAACTGCATTACAGAGAGCTGACTCCAGTTAATATCCCTTAGGGTTATGTGTTTGCAGCTCACCATGGTTTCATTACCTTTTATATAAATCAGAACACACGAGTCTCTGTTTCAGGGGTCAGGGAAATGCTTTGCCTTAAAAAATTTTACGTACTTTTAAAAAGAATAATGTAATTTAATAATGCTTAATACAGTATGTAACTTCTTTCATATGTCATGCATAGTTCATATTTTGTTTGCTGCTCAATCGCACATCAGCTGAAAGGATCGACTCAACACTCGAAGCATAAATTAAGCTTTTTTATTGACGTTTGATTTGAAATTACAGTGGAGTTAAATACAGATATACATAGTAAAGTAAACATTTTGTGCCTTAAGTTTACTTTCAATCACAATCCCTCATCTTGTCAGAAGTTTGTCCAGACCGGTTTTGGTTGGATTTGTCTGCACCACCTATGGCAAACAGTACAGCTTGTGTAAGGTTTGTCTGTTGAGTGGTCTCTCTCATAAACCGTGTTCATATTACTGCCCTGGTTCAAGAACAAAGGGCCAAAGCAGGTAAAACCGCTCCAGCAGTCTTTTGTTTACTGTAACTGACCATTTGTTTCATATATCAACCAATGAACCATTTTACATTACCACACACACTTAATAATATAAAGGACACACAATGGACAAATATTAGTCACAGTACTTAAAATGTTGTGAAAATTCACCCAAGAGCGCTATTAAACTCTGTATAAAAATTCTTTGAGCAATAAAGGAAGTGTATTAAATGTTTTTAAGGGAACTATACATAGTCAAGTTGGTCGTGTGCAACATCAAGATAAGACAAAACTGAAACTTAAATCATACACAAATATTCAGTTTCGGTGTCCCATGAAATTTTCATAAGCAAATACATGTAAAGAGTTTTTTCTCTTCCTGTTATCCATCATTTGGTACTAGTGAGCACCTTCACTGTGGAAATGGCATTTTTTCTTAGTAGTTATTTTTGTTTTACAGTGCAAAAATCTAATGTAAAACATTTTGATATTTGTTTCTTGTTTAGAGCATCATGTTACTTAATTTTGATCAGTACATCAGAAGGCAAGATGAAATATCTGAAGTGCTTTGAATTTAGCTCAAGTAGAAGGACTGAAATTACTGAAGAATGCGTTGATATCCATACTGAAATACACAAATCATTTATGATACATTTTGACACCATGTACACAAACAAAGCAAACAGCTAAACAAAAATAGGCAAATTAAAAATGATGTCAAAGAGGAAATACAAACAAAAAAGTCCCTGATAGACATCATCCCTTACACACACAAAGTCTTAAACCAACGAAAAGCAAATATTAACAGCATCACATCCCTTCATTATGGAGTCCTTTCATATGCATGTTCACCCTTTTCATCCGTCTTTGTTTTTTTTTTCTTCTTCTACAGATTTAAACATAGTCCTTCTTGTCATATCCAGCGCTGGCTGAGCGTGGAGCAGAATAGCCCATTCTTGCCGGCTTGTACTTCTTCTCTTTTGGAGGACAAGTGCAGCACAGCATGGCTCCTCCAATGATTAAGAGAGCGGCAGCAGCGAAACCTATGTAAATGGATGCCCCGAGCTCTCTTTGCTGAGCGCCGGGCAGTAACGGGTTGTAAAAGTCCCGAATGATCTGGTTTGCCACCCAGGCTGAAGGAATGAGATCCAGGATGCCAGCAATAATGAACATGATGCCAGAGACGATCATCACTTTAGCCTTAGCACCTTCATCCTCAATACAATTGGTGCATTTGGCGCCCATGACGGAGATCATCACACCTAGAACAGCCAAGATGATGGCAATGACAGTCATGGCTCTGGACGCCTGCAGATCTTGACCTAAAGCCAGCATTGAGTCGTAGACCTTACACTGCATCTGTCCAGTGCTCTGAACGACACAGTTCATCCATAAACCATCCCACATTACTTGCGCCGTGACAATGTTGGCGCCAACGAAGGCCGAGACACGCCACATGGGAAGAGCACAAGCCACAATGCTAATTATCCAACCAATAATACCCAGGGCAATGCCCCCAATTTCCAGTCCCATCGACATTTTAGGTGTACTTTTGTATCTAAGATATGGAAAAGTTCATTAGTTGTAATCGTATACACAAAACAAAGCAATAATATCACATAAAATAATCCAAAATGGAGTAATGAATGTCATTTACCAAGTGTCGAGATGTCTTTGTTGAAGCCGTCTCAATCTTTCCTTTCTTTGTGTAGCCTGTGAAGGTGTTGTGAAGGTGACCTGCCTTTATATTCCCAGAGAGACAGGTGCGAGTGGAGGAGGACCTAAATGCGATGACATGGGGGAAGAGATACAGATTTGTGCACTGCACCTGCCCGCTATGGACGCTGTGGGGTTGAATAACAATATGTTGGTGTTGCTTTTCCCTTGTAATCCAATTCCTACTAAAGTGGAGAAACTGGCTCAGCCAGGAAAAGCACCAGGAAGCACAGGCCAATAAGCAAATGGGTGGAGAAGTCGGCTAATATTTCACCTGAATTGGTTTTAATGTTTTACACAACAGTTAGTGATGTTACATATGAAGGATCTCAGTCTTTCATGTAAAACTGGGCTTATTTTATTGACTTATTTATACAGGAGATATTATGGTGAGGGTTGGTTAGTGGTTAGCACTGTTGCCTCACAGTAAGAAGGTTGCTGGTTTAAGTACTGGCTGGGACAGTTGGCATTTTTATGTGGAGTTTGCATGTTCTCTCCGTGTTCAAATGGGTTTCCCCCACAGTCCGAAGACATGTGCTATAGGTGAATTGAATAAACTAAATTGGACGTAGTGTATTTGTGAATGAATATTATGGTGACTGGGATTGTATAGAAGTACAGAAAATTAAACGCTCTAAAATTAAGTCTTCAACATAATTAAACATGGTAAAACTTGCATTACCTCTGAAGCAGTTTTGTGTTTAATTTATGTCTAACAGATGTCTAAACATAGACGTCTTGGCTAAAACAAGGCTAATTTTGGGCTGTCAGTGAAAATCTAAGATTAACTCAAAACTAGACTATTGATCAAATACACAGATAAGACAGATTTCACATTACTAGTCTAGTTTTAGTGTAGTTTATTTTTAGTCTATAGTCTATTTTAACCCAGGCCACAGCCCAAATTTTGCCTTGTTTTTGCCAAGACGTCTATGTTGATCTATGTTTAGATGTCTTTTAGACTTTTCTTAAACACAAAAAATGCTGGTTTGGTGCAGTTAGCATCTGAATGATAAAATGTCTTTATAAAATGAATAGTTCCAGAGCTTGAACTACAGTTGAAGTCTGTTGAGTCTATTTTTTTCCCAATTTCTGTTTAACGTAAAGAAGATTTTTTCAGCACATTTCTGAACATAATAGTTTTATAACTCATTTCTAATAACTGAATTCTTTTCTCTTTGCCATAATCACAGTAAATAATATTTTACTAGATATTTTAAGACACTTCTATACAGCTTAAAGTGAGATTTAAAGGCTTAACTAGGTTAATTAGGGACGTTGGGGTAACTAGGCAAGTTATTGTATAATGATGGTTTGTTCTGTAGACTATCGAAAAAAATATAGCTTGAAGGGGCTAATAATTTTGAACTTAAAATAGGTTTAAAAAATTAAGAACTGCTTTTATTCTAGATGAAATAAAACAAATAAAACTGACTCCAGAAGAAAAAAATATCAGACATACTGTGAAAATTTCCTTGCTCTGTTAAACATCATTTGGGATATATTTCAAAAAGAAAAATAAATTCAAAGGGGGGCTAATTATTCTGACTTTAACTGTCCATCTCTTAAAATGCAGCCACTGATATTAAGACATTTCTTCTTACTGTTTTTTTTTTTAGTTGTCAATAAGTTAATTGTAATTGAATCATACTTATTAAAATACACATTTGTATAATACATTAGAAAGAACAGTATATATGTGAAATGTGAGTGAACTTTGGGAGATGCCTGTACAGAGCCTCTTTTCCTCCATTGTTTTGATCAGAGGAAGTTGAACTTACTGCTTGAATTCAGCCTGTGTTTCTGTCTCTATACTGTATCTCATGTGTATATTCCCTTTTCTATAGATATACAGAAGTAGACATGTATTATGCTGTGTTAGATCTAGAAAGATAGACTGTAGGAAAAAAAAATATGATTTGACAATTTTTCTGCCTGGTTTAACAGATCTAATTTATTTTTCTGTGTAAAAACCAAAGCTGTTTTTTTTTCTTGAAGAAAACTGTAAAATTAGCACTGAAATAAACACTGAACACATGTAAACATTTGCTGACTTTGATTTCAAGCAAAGCATTAGTAAAAGAAACAGTAGAAGAAAAGTAACATAAATGAAAGCACACAAGACTGCAAAAAACAACAACAATTACATTTCTTTAATCATAAATCAACTTTGATTTGACAATTTTGACAGCTGAAATTAAACAAAACTCTAGACAGAGTATCACCAGAATCATTCTGTGCTAAAACATATCAATACATCTGTGAAGTGACAGTGATTGATCAAAACAATATAAACATTCACATTAAGCAAAAGCAAACAAGACTAGTTAAGCAACTCATATGGCCATAATAAATATTCTATGTCTGCTCACAAAGATGAAGATTTTAAAGTAGTTTTTGGGGCTGGTTTGCATGGCCTGATTCAAGACTTGTTGCAGCTGTGTTTGCCTCTTCCCCCAAAATGCCTGATATACCCACAGTGTTTGGTAAAAAAGTAATATAATCTTAAGCCTATCTTTTTAAAAACGTCACTAAAATGACTAATGTGACAGTATATTTTATGTTATTTTGCATTTTTGTTTAAATATTAAAATAGACTTAAGATTTTAATATATTACCCAAACACTGTTTATGGATACCCACAATAGCCAATGAAAGTAAGCAATTGTCACCAATAAGATGATGCATGCTTTTAATGAAACCAATACTATCTCATGACAATTTTTGATTTAGTAGCTAATTTGTATGAATTTGTACAATCTCATTTGTACAATTTAGTACAATTTACTTATTCATCAGTGACAGTTGGGTTTAGGGGTTTGGTGCCATGCCTCCTTTAAAAACTCTTTCTGTGAGATATTCTGTTTGGCTCTGTGAAATCTTTATTACATGACTTTGTGGCAAATAATCTTGAACTGGGCAACTGCAGCACAGGATGGAGCCTCTGATCAGAAATAGTGCCATTGCAGCCAAGCTGAGGAACCGAAATGACAAATCTCTGACAGGTAAACCTATAAATCCAGCTCGTAACACACAGACACACACAGATGAAAAGCAAATAAAATACAACTTTTCTAGACTTTTTATTGTGGAGTCGTTTCAGAAGCATCTACACAGTATTTGCGTAAGATCTTTAGATTTATTCTACTTTTTCTTAAAAAAAAAAATAGTTTTAAGCATCTTCATGTCATTCAGCACTGACTGAGTGTGTAGATAACTCTTGTAGTAGTTAATTCAGAGTTGTTAACTCTTGGCGATTTCTCTCTTGGAGGACAAGTGCAGCATAGCATGGCTCCTTCATTGATTTAGAGAGTAGCAGCAGTGAACCCTAAGTAAATGGATGCACCAAAATCTCTTTTCTGAGCAATGGTCAGTAGCGAATAAATGAAGCAATGAATGTAATTTACCAAGAGATACAGGTGAAATATGTATGCAAATTCTTACTTTTGTGTAGCTTGTGAAGATGTTGAGAAGATGACCAGTTTTTATATTCTAGAGAGCCAGGTCTGAACGGAGAAGGACTTGATGTGAGGACACAAGGGATGAGATACTGCTTACTGCGGCCACTGTGGGGAAAAAAAAAAAATGTTGTATTGGTTTTCCATTACAATTCCAAAAAGCAGAAAGATGGTACCATTTGTAGATGTGTTCCAAACAAAAGTGACACAGACATCTGAACCCTCTTACAAAGAGCCCTTCCAGATGTTATAGCTCCGGAAACAAACAATGGTGATTTAAGGTAGTCAGTTGATCATTTATGTTCATTAATGTAAAACTAAATGTAGCAGAAGAAAATTTATAAAATAATTCAAGCCTATATAACAAGTTTTCATCATGCATTTCATCTGAAGTTTAACCAATTAGGTAGTTCATTATTAGTAAGGTTGTTAAATGTAACTAGACCAGTAGAGTTAAATAAGAGGCATCACATTTTATTAAGATAATATCCCTTCAAAGTGTCTTTATATGGATTTTGCCCAAGCAGAATGACAGACAAGATATTAAAAAAAGATCTTTGCCTATTGTGACCTGTCGTTTTTTACTGCTCTCTCTGGCCTAAGAAAGGGAAGATTGATCATACACACACACACACACACACACACACACACACACACACACACACACACATATATATATATATATATATATATATATATATATATATATATATATATATATATATATATATATATATATATATATCACTTACATTAAAAAAATTATCAAATGAATTGGCCTAATTCAGCTAGTTCACTCAAAAAAAAAAAAAAACTGTTAAATGAACGTGATTTAATCGTGGCACCCTTTATGCATCTAATCCAATCAAGTAAACCTGAACTGCTTTGAACATGTTGTATGAACACAAAGCACATTTGTAGATAAAACATGGTTTCAATATGTCAGTGTAACTTCTTTGCAACTAATTGACTCAAAATGTTTGTATTGTGTTATTCTAATTAAAATGATTCTAATTTACTCGTCTCAATGTAACACTAAAGCTTTACTTTAACAAAATAATGTCTTGTTAAATCAGCTAGTAAATTTTTTGTTCAATATTGTTGTTTAAATTCATTCATTTTCTTGTCGGCTTAGTCCCTTTATTAATCCGGGGTCACCACAGCAGAATGAACCGCCAACTTATCCAGCAAGTTTTTTTACGCAGCAGATGCCCTTCCAGCCGCAACCCATCTGGGAAACATTCACACTACATACTCATACACTACAGACAATTTAGCTTACCCAATTCACCTGTACCACACGTCTTTGGACTGTGGGGGAAACCGGAGCAAACCCACACGAAGGCAGGGAGAAAATGCAAACTCCACACAGAAACGCCAACTGAGCCGAGGTTCGAACCAGCGACCTTCTTGCTGTGAGGCGAAAGTGCTACCCACTGCGTCGCCCTGTTGTTAAAATTACATTTTTTAAATGACAATACTATGAAGCAAGATTTAAAATTAAGTAATCCAACACAAAAAGGACAGAAAACATGTTTTATATATATATATAATATTCTGCTACAAAATGTTATTTAATATCCAAAATTGTAATATGTAATATAAAATGTATGAGAAACATTTAGCCAACAAAAAAACTGATCCCCAAGCAATACCCAAGCAAGAGTTTAAACAGCTTTTTTCACTTTGGTACTCCTATTTAAAATGTACAAGTATAAAATGTATAGAAAACATATAGCCAACAACATATATGCATAACATTAAAGCTCTTGGAAAACCAATGGGCTCTATGCACGTCGGCGCGTGACGCATTTCCGGTAAAATTTAAGACCCCGAGCCTACTTCCGCCGATCGTACAGTACAGTGCTACAACAGGAGCGCTGCTGATAAAAACGAGTAATGTTTTGGACAGTTGTCTTAATGTTTTATGCCATTATAGCCCACTTATATATGTTTATGTCAGCTACATAAATATGACATCTAAACGTTTAAAAGTGTCATTTCAAAGACGTGAGAACAGTACTTGTAGATACCACAGCTGTGTTCAGCAATGCACAGCGTCAAAAATTGAACTCTTACCTTAGTTTCCACAAGTTTCCAAAAGACAAAGTCGTGCAGAAGAGGTGGGTTGTTGATATTAAACGTGAGAATTTTACAGAAACAGAAAAAAACAAGAGTGTAGCTGACAATTTCAGTCTAGCAAACTGATCGAGGCTCGAGTGCCAACCGGATGCAGACATTTAAAGAAAGGAGCTTTTATGGCAAATAATAGTTTATTTTCATTGCCTTTGAAGTAAAAAAAAACTGAACATTAATATACATAAACATTTCTTAAGCTACTTTCTAAGTGCAATTTTTAATTCAGAATAAAGACCTTTATTTTATTCACTGTACATATAAAATATAATTCACTGCATAGAATTTGAAATAAAAATTGTCAAAAAAATGTAACATTTTGAAAAAAATATTTTATTCAGATGAACAGAAACAATGACATTGAATCAGTTGTTTTCTTGAATTAGGTGCTTCTTCTGTAACTTGTGCATAGAGAGGTATTTGGGCTTATACGTATTAAATAAATAAATAAAATCACCCCTCTGTTTCATGGAACTTAACACATAATTGATCCATTCCAAACAATTGTTCATGTGATAACACACATTACACATTTCAGAGTAATGGGCTGTCTGGAAAAGCAAAGCAACCAAATGTTTGCATATCCCACTCTCAGCCACACAAGAGCAGGAGCTATAAACTAGCAGGCGATGGCATGGATCTTCTGACTGATGTCCGCTCCAGGATGAAGTAACACATAAAATTTTCTAGCTCTGAATCTCATAATGTTACCTAGAAAACAGAAACAAGAATATTAATAGGTTTTTAAATAGAGTCATTAAAGGCAGTTCACTCAAAACTGAAAATTCTATTTCCTCATCCTTCACTTGTTCCAAACCTGTTTGAGTTTCTTTCTGATGTTTAACACACAAAAAAAATACTTTGAAGAAAGGTGGAAACTTGCAACCACTGATATTCATAGTAGTTCTTTTTCCTACTATGGAAGTCAATGGTTACAGGTTTTCAGCTTTCTTCAAAATATCTTCTTTTGAAAGGCATCTGCAGCAATATCATCAGATTAAACTACACAGTAAATCATTCATTTAAATTATTTAAAAGTAGCTCCCTTTAGTCACACTTTAAAATAAGGTTTCATTAGTTAATGTATTTGCTCACTATTAAAATAACTATTTAATATTTAATAGTTAGCATTGTTAAACTAATTTACTAATGAATAAAAATCCAAAGTCATGCTTGTTAACATTAGCTATTACATTGTGAGTTAACAAGCACAATGAATAAGCATTTGTTCATTAATGTAAAAAACTAATAAATATTGCAATAGACAAATTGTTGATGTGAAATTAACTAATGACACCTTATTGTTTTGGGTCACCCTCCAATTTAATTACAATGTTATCGACTAAATAGAAAGCATGCTATCTACACTGCTACACTGCATCTGTCATCTCCACTGTTTCAGCAATAAATCTCAGCATTGACACAGTGCTATTTGTCTGTTGTGGATGGAACGGCATTGTATTATTTTATTCCTAATATATCTTGCTCAATAATCATGCTTACAAGCTAAGACAGCATCTGTGTTTCTGTAATTATCCGAACTGAACAGTGGTGGTCACTTTAGAACAGTAAAAGTATGAATGGGACAGAACTTCACATGTATGTTGTCCTAACGTTACTCTCAGCTGGTGAGGAGACTCCGATTTCTTCATAGATCTATCGGTAGTAATGAGCTCTCACTGAGATCTTATTCCTGCCCTGTTTTTACCTGACACTATGAGACAGAATTACGTACACATATGATTATTTTACTTACGTGATAAAGCTGCCGATGGACGGATCGTAAGAGTATTAACGCTAAAGTTAGCCTTCAGGCTAGCTGAACTTACCTTCATAATTGCACAGGTAGGAAGATGCATAAAACTTGAAACCTTTCTCAAGCTTTGCTCTGCGGTGTTGTAGAGCACATCCGGACAATCATTTGCACATCGTTGACCATAATTTACTCGCAAACAGCGAGTAAATATTGACGACTCTGCCATAATACTGCTTACCTCCGCTTAAAATCACCCAGACCGGAAGCTGGACCGCGGCCTTAGACAAAACGCGGAAGTAAACGCGGTGATACTTCTTCTTCTTCTTCTTTGGGTTTTACTGGCGGTTGGCAACCAGACTTATAGGTGCATTACCGCCACCGACTGGAATGGAGTATGGAACTAGTTGAATACTTTCTGAAGTGTATAAATTACATGAAGGGAGAGAAAGGGGGAGGAAATTGTGAGGGGAGGGGGAGAGAGGGAAGAAAAAAAAAAAAAAAAAAAAATTATAATACTAATAAAATGTAATAAAAATGGGGGATGGGGTGGACTAACAATTCTTCTGATATTATCTCTATATTCTTTCCTCTAACTGGGTTTCTTTAATAAATTTTATTATATCATTATATACCTCACTAGATTTGTTTCCTAATAAACCTGCCAATGTAAAATGCTGAAGATTGCTCTTTTTAACTGACTGAATAAGATCGTTTCGTTCTTTATTATAATTACTACAGTGAAATAAAATATGTTCTATTGTTTCTTGTTGATTACAATGTATACATTGCCCAGTTGGGTGTTTCCCTATTTTATGTAATGTATGATTGAGTCCAGTGTGACCTATTCTCATCCGAGTTATAATACTTCCTTCCCTACGATTTCTGTTCTCCTTCCTCCCAGTTCCAACTTGTTTCTGTATATTATATAAATGTCTACCTGTATCAATGTTATCCCAGTGTACTTGCCATATTGATTGTGCATATGTTCTTATCATGATTTTAGCTTCTGCTTTGCTCAATGGGACTTCTAGATTTACTTTACTAATTCTAAGAGCTTGTTTGGCCAGAAAGTCTGCCTTCTCATTACCTTCCACACCTACGTGAGCAGGAACCCAAATGAAATATACTGATTTGCCCTTCATTTTAATATAATATGTCTTACTGAGTATATTATTAAGAATATCCATTCTGTATGAAGACCTTCCAGATCTTATACTTTCCAGTGATGAAAAGCTATCTGATGCAATTACTACATTATATATGTCATTCTCCTCAATCCACTGCAGGGCAATTAGTATTGCAATTAACTCTGTTGTATATACTGATATATTATTAGTTATTCTTTTCTTAATATGGTATTGATTAACTGGGATATACACTGCTGCGCCTGTATGGCCTGTTTGTGGGTCTTTAGATCCATCTGTGAATAAAAATATTGATTCTTTATAATTTTTTTCTAAATAATTCTGCACTATATATTTTGTTGGAAGAATATTATTGTTATCTTTTAACTCCTGTTGTATATTGAAATCTACTTTAGGTAATGGAAAAAACCATGGCGGAATATATGGGATTGGGACTGCCTTACAGTATTGCAGTTGATCTAATCCAATTATTCTGGCTTTTGCCTCAGCTATCCATCCGAAACTTATGAAATTAGTTTCCTCATGCTCCCAACATTCTAGTAATGTTCTTTTTGTTGGATGTGATTCAATTTGTCCCTGAATGTTAACCCAATATGCCATCATTAATTTCATTCTCCTAATGCTTAAGGGCATTTCTCCCATTTCAACCTGCATAGATGAAACTGGTGAGGTTCTAAATGATCCACTACAGATTCTAAGGGCCTGTGCTTGTAATACATCTAATTTTTTGAGGTTTGACTCTGCTGCCGACATGTAAGCTATACATCCATAATCAAAAACAGATCTCATGAGGGCCCAGTATATATTTTGTAGTGATGTTCTACTCGCTCCCCACTCTTGCCCTGACAGGCAACGAAGTACATTAATAACCTTTTTACTTTTTTCTGTGATTTTATTCAGATGATCCTTCCATGTCAGCTTTTCATCGAACCAAACCCCAAGAAACCTTACAGTTTTTACTTGTTCTAGTGGTTGTCCATATAGTTTTAAAGCGAGTGATATGGTTTTATGTCGTCTTGAGAAACGCGGTGATACTTCTTCTTGTTGTTTTCGTATGGTGACATCCAAACGCACTACCGCCACCTACTGATATGCGCGAAGTGACTCTCCAGAGTGAGAGTTGTCGATTTGAAGCGTCTCAGTCTCATTGAATCAACATGTTCTGATCAAATTCATTTGATTATTTCTTGATTCAGTTTCAAATAACATGAATTAATCATTTAACATACGTAAACTTGATTTGTTCTTTTCAATCTGACAAATTTTTATTTTGTAAATCCAATACATGCCTAGTTGATTTTTTTGAGTGTTGAAGACATTTTTATTTTGGACATTACTATTCTGTGACAGCCAAATTAGTCCCAAAACAAATCCAGAAAAAGACAAGCTTTTTCTCCAGCAATATTATAGGCATGTTCAGTGATACAGTATTGTATGAAATGCAAAGAGAGAACAGAAGTACAGTGAACTCAAATGAGCTCTTGTCAAAAGTGTACTAATCAATACTAATGTCACATAAAAATATGAACAGGACTGACATCTCTTCATGAGTCACCTGTTCAGCAGAGATCATTCCACAATTTAGGGCTTACATGAGAAAATGCTCTTTATGTTTCAATTTTGTCCTTGTAGTACAGTGGAAAAAAATACTTTTCAGATCTTAAGGATCTAGGAGGGTTGTAGGTTGCCACTATACTAGCTAGATAAACTGGAACTAAATTGTGCATGGCTTTAAAAACAAATACAAGAATGTTATAAATAATCCTGATCTTATTGTCAGCCATTTTAATGAAGTTAATAATAGGATTACAGAATCATTTTTTTGCTGCAGCATTTAGAATTTTCAGTTGCCACATTAGTGTACAAACATCATCATCATTGTCTGCTGCTTATCCAGGTCTGGATAGTGAGGGCAGCAATCTTAGAAGAAAAATCCAGACTTCTCCAAGATGTTCCCTGGCAAGACGAGAGACTATGCCCAATCCCAATTCTACTCCTTAGCCCTTCCCCTTACCCCTCAATTTGCACGTTCACGTGAAGGGGTAGAGGTATCCTAATTCTCTTTAGCTTGAATATGTAGGGCTGAGGGAAAGCGAAAGATACCCCTCGAAAGGGGGATGAGTCAGGAGATGCAATTTTTTTTTGTCATTATTATGAATTTTTACAACAAACAAGCAAAGGCATATGTTTTAATACATTCATAAACATGTTCGTGTTTTACCGCCAAGCTTTAAAAAACCTGCTAAAATAATAACCGCTAAATTTTGCTATCTATAATCCTTAGTATTAAATCCTGTACAGTAGTCCCACAACATTCTGTCACATCTGACACTTAATGACACACAAATCCCCTGTCAGAAATGTCTAGTGGCTGGGAATAAGCTTTTTACAGAGTCTGCTATAATGTTAATGTTGTTTTTGTGTGTTTACATACGTAGATGAATATGGCCAGGGTGTAAATACACAGTACACAAGCTTATTGCCACATTAGATCGTTATGATAACATAATATATGCCTTCAGTGATTTCCTGAAGATAAATACCAAAAAAAAAACACAACTGGAATAACGGCAGTCGCGATCTCATATGAAGCAAGAGCTCATGATGAAATATGCTGACGTGCAGGTGTTGTAGTGGTGTACCATTTCTTAGGGGTAATTTTTGAAGCCCTTTCCTACACATTCTGTTTCAAAGGCCAAGAGCAAGGGGTAGGGATACAAAAGTAGAATTTTTTGACCGGGCCATAGTCTCTCCACCATGTCCTTCGTTGTCCTCTGGGTCTTCTCCTGGTGGGACAAGCTTGGTAAACCTCATCCAGGACGCATCTAAAACAGATGCATGATCCGCCTCAACTCTCTCGCTCGATGTGAAGGAGCAGCAGCTTTACTCCGAGTACCTCACTCTATCTATAAGTATGTGCCTTTCCACCCTGCAAAGGAAACTCATTTTGCTGCTTGTCTCCGAGATCTTGTCCTTTTGGTCATGAGTCATGACCCAAAGCAAACTCCAGTTGCATAAAATAGGGAGTTACAATAGTCCATCTGGAGAAAGACAATGGCAATAATAGCTCTCTTGAGGTCAGTGTTGGATAAAAATGGCTTAGGCTTACCTAGCAGACAAAAAAAAAAAAACAAGACATTAACAGAACATTTAGTTGTTTGTCCAACTTTAAGTTGCTATCAATAACAGAACAAAAATGTTTTTCACACTACATTTGTTACAAAACTAGAAAGAGATTTAAAAGCTGAATGGCCTCCTGCTTTTTTGGGGGGTTAAACAATTTCTCTCATTTAGTTTTCATTAAGTTAAAAAAAAATTGGTGCCATCCATTTTTAACTTTATGAAAGCACGCTGATAGAGTGGCTTCAACTCTTTAACAGAGATATACATTTAAGTATGATCAGCATGTGTCTGTGTGTACTATCAGCTTACGAAAGTATTTTACTTAAATATTTTACATTTGCCAGTTTAGTGGCTAATTCGTACAAATTCGTACAAGTTCAGTGGTACGAAATTGTACGATTTTAAAAAGGAGGCATTGCACCTAACCCACCCCTAAACCCAACCGTCATTGGGGGATAAGCAAGTCGTACAAAATTGTACGAATTAGATCGCATAAATTCATATGAAATAGCCACTAAATCAAATAGTTACAAATTGTTGTGAGATTGTGATGGTAATATATACAGTATAGAGAGAAAAGCATTGAGTGAGTCTCCAGTAAACGATTCACTCTACAAACTGATTAGAAAAGAGTTGTGTGTGAATGTGGTTTCATATGTTTTCACCAGAATTATCAGTGTGGGAGTTAGGGCATGACAAGAGGTTGGGTAATTCCATTTTCAACATTTTTAATTTACTGAAGTATTAAAGGTAATGCTGTAATGATACGTATTGTCAAACTTACTGATGGGCCAGTAAACATGATACTAATATTTGTAACCACTATTTACTCACTCTGAGGTGGTTTTAAACCTTTGTGTTTCTTTTTCTAACTCATTCTTAATTCAAGAGATTTAAGTAGTTGCACTTCATTCACATCATTTCTATTTCTTTGTATTAATTATTTGAGATTTAAGGTAAAACTCATGTGGTGTTAATAGCATATTAATGTGGACAGTAATGACTGGAGAAAACAGTTCATACAAGGGCAGCCAGCTGTTCAGCTGCAATAAATCGGTCAAACCCTACAAAGTAAAAGAAAAAAAGTCTTCCAGGCTTTTAAGCATGTGCTGTCACCATATATCATTTTCATACACGTTAAAGACGTACAAAGTGCATGTAACGAGGTAAGCATGCTCTTTTTAAATTTGCTGAAAG